CTGCGGCCCAACGCGTTATTAAAACTGACGAAAAGTCGCCTCGCTTTTGGGAATTCGCGCTCGTGTTCGACCCAACATTAATTGTTCAACGCGCCGAGCCGTTGACTTGGATGTGGCTAGCGGCATCAGAATTCTTTGCTCATCCTTGGACAGGCCCGGCCATTCGTCCTCCCGTTGTATCACCTGACACTTTCTGCAGAATCACTACAAGTCATGAAATGGATGATCGACGCATCATTTGCGGTGCATCCAGATTTCAAAAGCCATACTGGCGGCACTCTGTCCTTTGGAGGAGAAGCAGCTCAAGTGATGTCGAAGAAGCAAAAGCTAAACAGCAGAAGCAGTACAGAAGCGGAACTGATTGCTGTTGACAATGTTGTCACAATGATACTATGGACAAAGTTGTTCATGGAGTGGCAAGGGTATCCGATCGAGAAAAATATCTTGTATCAGGATAATAAAAGCGCGATTCTACTGGAAGAGAATGGTCGCAAGAGCACGGGCAAAAGAAGCCGAGCTATCAATATTTGTTATTTCTTTATCACAGATCAAGTTGAGAACGGCAATGTTAAGATCGAATACTGTCCAACTGACGATATGATTGCGGATTTTATGACTAAGCCATTGCAAGGTGAGAAGTTTCGCAAGTTCAGGGATCTGATTCTTGGTCCACAGGACTAGGTCAGACAAGTATGTATATGTTCAAAAATGAAAATACAAAACAAAAAATAAACAGTGAATGAGAGCATGTCCCATTGCTGCCAATGGTGATTGTCACAATGGCAGGAGTTTGTTGGGATATGACAAAATAAGAGTTTTTACGTTCTGAAAAGAAACTATTCAAGTACAAAGTTTTCGACACGTACGATCGGACTTTGATCGTGATGTCGGGATTCGCCGCAAGTATGCCGGACGGCGAGTCTGTCGGACAAACTACATCCACACAAAAAGGGAATGACCCTATACAAGTGAGATATTGATGTTGTGTACAATGCAGTAGGGAACAATACAATATGTCCCAAAGTACTGTATCCAACACAGAATTGTCGTAGAGGTCGAATCAAGTTCTGTAAACATGGGATTCTCCAAGGGAAAATTGTTGAACTTACTTTTGTGATTGAATCATCAATTCAAGCCAAATATTAATCAAATAGGAACAATTTCACTCAAAGTATACCTAGACACAGGAGAACTATTGTCGTGAAAGTGTTGTACAGTCAATTACAAATTTAGATTGCAGAGAGTTTGTTCTGAGCGCTAAAGGCACTCACGATAGAGCACACTTTGCTTTATTCTAACAAGACTGGTTGGTTCTGCCGGAACGCGTGTTGTTTCGTTTCTGAAATAATTTTTTCTATGGTTAGACTGTGAACGAGTATTGTTTTGGAGTGAAGGTCAATGAGCTTCATTGTAGCAATGGTAATGTTCAGAGGCATCATTGTATGGATAATAGCCTTGATCTTCCGTGGGAGGATACAAGTCATCTGGAGGATACGAGTCTTCAGGAGGAGGATACATTTCTTGTTGTTCACAAGGTTGTACGAATTGGGGTAATCTGAATAACTATCTATTCCTAGACTTCAATTTCACTCTGTCAAATACAGAGCAGTCTTTTCAAAAGGAATGAGCTGCAACTGAGCTGCAGCTCATTCACCAACTTCTTTCACAACCTCTTTGGTACGTAGCTTTCCACTATCCTGCTACTGTACCTTCTTTGCATACGTACTTGGGCGTTCCAATCAGTCTGTCCTTTGCTAGCCAACACCTGCAGTGATTGTCGTCCGGTTTGCCCTCAAACTCATCAATACCAAAAAAGGAAAACGGATTTTGTAAGGAAATCCGCATAGCCAAAATACGTAAAAACCAGATTTCTTCAGACGGATTCACTTCCATTGTTTCAGTGTCAAATGCGGCAATTAGGTACTGTGTCAATTGACTATTATCCAAATTCATCGATGTGAAAATGCGAGCAAAACGATCTTCACAAGTTGTTGTCCCGGTATTGTCGTTAAATGGATTGTCATACCGGAGGCAGGGTTGGTTCCAAGCAGCAGGAAAACGTTCTTCCCATGCCATAAAAAGCGCGTTACCCGTATGGATACGGTCATGACGTTCCAATGCTTCGTCGACAGCATCTCCTGAATATAAATTCTTCATCCACCACTCCAACAGGTTTGGAACAATCTATCGTAATGTCCACTCCTGCAAGCTTCTCGTTCGGCGATTCGTTTCGTCTCAATCTCATCAGCCATGCGTTGCGCTTCATTGTCGTTGGTAACACGCTTCTCTTCAGTTTGGGTTTCAGACACCATCTTGGAATCGATGGGATCCCTGTCTTTAGGCTGTTGTAGGTCAATTTCCACTCGTTTCTTGACAGACTTTTTAGCCACAGAGGTCATTTTCATCTTAGACACGCCCGACTTTTTTGTCATCGCCGAGGATGCCTTTGCGTTGATAGATTTGCCCATGGTGCGCCGGTGTTGAATGGTTGGCTTGGTGATAAATTTGAAGTTTTCTCCATAAAGTCAGTACTAGCGCTACGCGAGGCAGACTGGTTGGTTCTGCCGGAACGCATGTTGTTTTGTTTCTGAAATAATTTTTTCTATGGTTAGACTGTGAACGAGTATTGTTTTGGAGTGAAGGTCAATGAGCTTCATTGTAGTAATGGTAATGTTCAGAGGCATCATTGTATGGATAATAGCCTTGATCTTCCATTGGAGGATACAAGTCATCTGGAGGATACGAGTCTTCAGGAGGAGGATACATTTCTTGTTGTTCACAAGGTTGTACGAATTGGCCTTGTACAAAATGTTGATCACACTGAACTTCAGCAGAAGGCATTCCGCCTTGGCCCACTTTGGGGCCAGTTCCAACCGGAATGAAGCATTCCCCTTCCTGATTGTTGTAATACGTTCCAGCAGGAACTGAGCCTTTGGCTTGACTTCCGTCTTGATTGTAATGCGATTCAGCATAATGATGGTTTTGAGGGTTTCGGTTTTGAAAATCCCCTGGAGGTCAGTTGTTTGGAGGTCGATTGGCTTGATGGTTTTGTTGCCCAAAGCGTCCTTGGGTTTGAGAACTGGCTCCAGAAGATTGTCCTTGATAGTTGCCTTGAGATCTTGGAGGGTAGCGATATCCTTGATTCTGAGTTCCTTGATTTTGATAACTTGGATAGGGTGGATTGGAAGTGGTTTGATGATTACCGTAACTTCCGCGCCCACGTCCATGTCCACGTCCTCGACGAGAATGCTGTGTGTAACCACCAGTGCGTTGAGGTTTTTCACAAGCATGCTGCTTTGAGATTTGGACATTGTTGGACAAGATCTTGGTAGCTTGCATATAAGTTTTGACCAGTTACAAGGTGATGTTGGGATCTTCAATGGTTCCTTTCTGTTGACAGAAAGTATCCTGCCACTTTGCAGGAAACGAGTGGAAAATTATTTCTTTCTTGGTTAAGACAGAAATATCATCATTTTCACATAGCTTCTGAGATGTTCCGGGAAGCATGTCATGATAGAGGCACAATAGTTCAAGTCGCCTAATGTGTCTGGACACATCAGTTTTCATAGACTTCCTGCAGGCGATCGACTTCAGAAAACGGCTTGCGCTGTTCCTTGGATTTGCGCCGGCTGACATCTTCGTGAAAAAAATCGTCAACAGAATTCTTGAATTGCGCGGCAGTGTGATGGGTCACGCTCATTTCAATCACATTCCATTCATTCAAGGCTTGACCGCCCAGATGTAGTCAAAAGAGCGAGAACTTGAGGTTGGCAATACCAGCTCCGTTACCAGTGATCTCCCATTGAGAGCAGAGATTCTTGAATGAGATGTACATCCTGCAAAAAGGCTCCAGGTTGCTGCCTTTTCCAAGGTAAAGTGGAACCTTGGCTTTGCGTTTGCCACCATCTGCGCCAGGAAGATGGAATACAATCTCAGTGAGAACGTCCCTATTGTTTTCAACGTAGGTAAATGGTGAGTCAGTTGCAAGAGAAGTCATAGTGATGTATTTTCACTTCAAACGCTTCAATCAAGATGCAACAAAGTCAAACACGTAGCAAATGCTATAGCAATAGTTTGCTGCCACTCTGCAGAGTGTATCTCTTCAGTAAAAGCCTTTGGCTATTCGAATAGTAACCCAACCTTCACAGAAGAGTCACAGAGAAAATTATGGATGTCTATAGAGATGCACTTCAAAATGCTTGACTAAGGTCTAGTTCTGTACCCAATAATAATAACTGAAACATTAATCGATTAAATGCTATCTAGCGCATACGATTGCCGGTGGAATAAGCGGCTGTAAAGGTCAAGTACCGTGAAGCGACGAGTCAACAACTAGTTTGAACCATTGGAGACATCTGGTGGACAGAAGTTGCTCTAGTCAGGATCGAGGGGATCCCAACTCTACCCGCGACAAGGCGGGGTGATTTTGGGGCGTTGATTCCTCAAAATGGATTCAGGGGGCCTGGGCCGGATGGAAGAAGCGGTGAAGGATACGGCGTTGGGGCGCCAGAGCGCGGCGATAGGCCGTGCGTTCCATTCTGACCAGCTTCAGCCACTCTTCCCTATCGACCAACGGCTTGTTCGACACAGTTCCGCGTTTCACAGCAAGCATGCGTCGAACTACCTTAGGGAGGTCGGTTGGGCCCATATCAAACTGAGAGTGTATACCGTCGTTCACCAATCGGCTACGTTCGCGTAGCTGTACGTTGTCCTCCAAATGTTGCACCAAGTTCCGGTGTTCCCACATATGAAATCCAAGCAAGATCAGCTGATGCAACAGGCAAGAGACCCACAGGGTCGGAGAGCGTTGGCTCCCTCGTGACTGAAGGTACTGTTCCTGCAGGGGCGTCCACTGAACAGACAGCCGGCCTTCCAATAAACCTTGGTAGCCGATGCGTTGTTGAGAGAGGAAAGCTCGGCAAAGACGAACCGGAACCAATCGACTGCAAGGTAGGGACGGATCACGAAGCCCTTGAAGAAGGTAGAGAAGAGTGTGTTTGATGGCTGGATCAGTGACTTGAGTGTCCAGCCATTGGCCCAACAACGCCGTCCGGCAATCCCATTCCGCACTAGCCAAGGGCGCCGTACATCGAGGAACGTGAAGGTAGTCCTCAAACTCGCCGCAGCAAGGACATGCAGCTGAGTCTGCAGAACCCCACCGGACTTTGAACTTCCCTACACCACACATACCCACGACATGCTTTGTGGTCCAACATTGGACACCTGCCGGAAGGGAGCTCATGGCGCGAGCCAGACTGGTCCAATCGGTCTCCATCTCTGCCTCCGGTGTAATCATCTGCCGCTCATGCCATCGCTTGCGTAGAGCAGGCAGCGCCACCAGTTCCTGGACCTGTTCTGGATTCAATCGCAACTGTTTGACGTCCCCAATGTAAAGGGCAGCCAATTCGGTAAAGAAACGAGCGTTAGGTGCAATCGATCGGTGTGAAGCCTCAAGCTGGTGGCAATAGGCGACCGCCCACGCATCCACTTCCACATTCCGTTTAGACCACCAAGAGAGGCACGAAAAGGATGTCGCCGTATCGAGGTGACCGTACACGTGGCTAGGTTCCCACGAGGCCCTAGAGCGGGCAAGTGCCTCCCGGATAGAGGAGACCAGGTCAAACTGGGCTTGTTGCGGTGTGACTCGATTGGCACCAAAGGTGTTGAGCAACACCAAAAATCCATCGCACGCAATCCTAACGCGGGGTGGTGATCAAAGTGTTGGGGCCCACTGGTCGAGGAGCCAATCAACAACCATGATACCGGCCAGTAGGCCAATTAATTCACTCCGGTACGCGCTCTGGTCATCAGTTAGACCTGGAGTCTGGCACTGGACGATAATACGTTCCGTGCCACCCTTATGTGGAAGCAGTTGAACCGCTGCCGTGCCCAGACCGAGCTTGTAAGAACCGTCGCTGATCACACACAGCCGGTCTTCGAGTAGGGCTGCCGCAAGGAGGCTTTCGTCGCCATCAATCTCAATTTCTTCAGGGGTCCAGCCAACATACTCGGTCACCCTGGCTGAGGCGGCCATCCAGGCGGCTAGCAAAGACGGTTGAGAGTCGTGATGCGGCTGCAGCGATGCTGTCCCAATGCCGGTAAGGGCAAGAGTGCCTAGCAAAGGCGTAGTGTGGACGGTAGCTCGGCACAAGTCAGCAGGGAGTGGTTGGGTCCAAAAGGGGGCTGGCAAAGGGCTGACGCCGTTGTCGGTATGCTCGTTATGTGGTTGTTTGCACCCGGACAATTGCATAGAATGAGGATAGTCCCATTGAATGCTCCGTGTGGAGGAGCGACGGTGACGGTAGTGTTGCCACCCGTGGCCCTGGCGGTGGAACAATCCGTGAGTAGAAGACCATAACCAGTTCCAGTTGTCAAGAAGATCGAACCATGGGCCCAGAGGATGACGCAGTAGGCGCTGGGGTCCGTCAGAGACAAGTAGTGCGCGAGTAAGGTGTTCCTGCCACGCCTTCCAGTGGGTCTTGTTGGGCCGGACAGTGCGAGGCCATTGATATGACGACCGATGAGCGTAGTCACGTTCCCCATGCCACATGGACTCTCGTATGCTGAGGCCATCAGCCGTCACAATGTCGGAGACGGTGCAAACTTGGAGGAACATACGGCACCAGTTGAGCCACTTTAGAGCGTCCTGATCCACTTCCAACTCCATGAGTACCTCAATGAGCAAGGCATCGCCTTTGCACCGGAGAGGGAGGACAGGCGAGTCAAGGGCAACATAGATATCCAAGTCCTCCAACTCTTTCCAGACTCTTTTGAGCCAAGTATCTGACGCCAAAGTTGCCGTGTTGCTATAGTCCTGCTGGAAGAGTCCAAAGGAGGTGCCGGTCTTGAGTTGGTGTTCTTGAACCGCAGCCTCCATATATGCCCCAGTTTTTGTTCGGTTGGACAAGTGGCGAAGCAGGACCTCAATATGTTTAGACACCTGAGTACCAAACGGATGAGGGATACCCAGACCCTGGAACTTGAGAGGGGCAAGAACCATGTCCCGAGGAAAGCTCCTACATATGCCGGCCTTTGGCAGGCAGACTTGTAGAACAGGACTCATAATTGACACCCATGTCGCAGCATCCAGTGTAGTTAACACCATAGGATATTCCAGAGATTGTTGTCTTGATAAGGGGAATGACATCGTATTTGTGTAGATGCCCCGATCGCACTTGCTCAGCCCACTTTTTGGCGATACTCTTGAGATGGACGACGTGAGCATGTTGATCTTCCAATGGGGCCAGCATGACCCCCAAGGTTTTCTCTGCCTCATCCGGCTCCAGACGGCGTAAGGCTTCCAATTCGCCAGTCAGTCCCGGTATTTGTAATTGATGATCCGGTAGGAGTTGGTGTGTCCGGCGGAACCTCCATTTGCCCTCTCTGGAGTCCCACACAAAGTCAATCAACCACCAAAAGGACTTTTCTGGATTAATTGCCCCTCCAGTAGCACTAATGCCTCCAGCCCACGTGGAAGCCGCTTGTTGGACGGAGTGGCATATATCCTCGCCAGATTGTTCCACGGACTTGCCCGCTTTGATCACATCCGTGTCGTCGACAAAGCAGAAGCACTGAGCGGTGATCAGTTGAGACTCAATCGCGGTGAGGCATTTGAAGCCAAAGCCCATCGCGGTCATCATCTGGATGACGACGGAGCTAACGGAGACCCAAATGGGCGGGCCCGCTCCGTTGCCCTGGCCGCAATCCTGAAATGGTACCATGGAAGGGGGGTGAAAGCTCTCTTCAGAGTCACCAAAGCCTGTCCGCACTTGGTGCATGGACGTTGCGAGAGTGTCAAACATCATGCACAACGCATTCCAAGTAATCGCCAGGCGCATCATAGCTAACACCACAACCCAATGGACGACCCAATCAAAACGCGACTTTGCGTCATTTGAAATCCACCCCGCAGAGCGGCGCTGGAGAATCAGAAGGTCCCAAACAAGACGTTTAGACAGGGCAAGATCGATCGCTTGATGGTGCTTTCTAGACCCGCACTGTCCATCGGCCAAGAGGTGATGTTCTTCGCCGTAGGCCATGGCCAGGCGGCCCAGTTTCTTGTAGTTCGCTTGGGATTCAGAATTCATGAGCTGAATCGTACACATTTTTGTCAGCCAAAAGTCGCCTGGCTTCTTTTCAATGGCGAAATTCATCAGATGCCGCCAGTTGTCAGGGACAAACCCAGTTGTCAAGGGTATGTGGCGGAAGAGAGGTCGCATTGAGCCACCATAGGGGAATAAATCCCAGCCTTGAAATGACCGTTATGTAGCCCGTGCGGTTCCAAGCCCTTATTCTCTGGATTACAAGACCAGAAGTAAGTATGATCATCAGGCAACACTTCCATCGGGATCATAGAGTGCCCTTGATGGAAACGGCACTGCTCCAGGAATGACTTAGTGTAAGAATCAATCCCATCCGGTATGGGAAGGCGGCCCTCCAGAAGTGCATGGGAGTTCCTCTCTGCGTCTGCCCCGGTGAACATTGAATACAAGGGTTTGTCCATAGGAGGAGTCGTATAGGGCGATCGAGTCTGGTCATACCGTGCGCAATTTTCCTGCATGCACCCTTGCTTGACTTGTCTCCGATCGGTGAGAGTTCGCAGATCCACTTGTCCGGTAGGTAACGTCTCCTCAACTTGAATCGCTTGCAAACCGCCGGTAGATCCTTTTGACTGGGCGCGGCGGCGGCGTCTCGCCTCCTCTCGTTGCTTCATCCGCCGTAACCTCAAAAAGCGATCCCTAGCCTTGCGCGATGTCCATTGTTTCTTCTTAGATTTCTTCACTTGAACAGTCAAGAACTCCTTGCGCCATGAAACCGCGTGGTTTTTCTTGGCATGCAGGTACTCCTTCCTGTCATTACGCAATGCCGTCTCCAATTCAACTGTAGTCTTCTTCCACGCGTCGGGCAACTTAGTCTTCTTCATAAGGCGGCGGATTTTTCGCGAGCTGACTTGACATTGCTTCCTTCCCTTCAGTAGTAGCTTCCAGAGGGACTGGCGGTCCCAAAAGGTTTGGATCTGGGGAGACCACGGGACAGCCCCATTTGTGACCCTTCGACACCTCGCTTCCGCTTTCCGACAAATATCGTACATCTGCTTATGCAAACAGTTATACTGGCGTCCCATCTTCTCAGTCATAATCCCACTGTTTAATGTTAATTGTCTATGAAGCTGCTCCAACCGCAATGGAATGGAGTACACGTCATAGCCTTGGTGAACCAGCCGGAGATAGCGTCAAACAGCCGCAGTGTCAAGCATTGTCAATTTGCGAGGCTTGTATGGTGTCTTCTCCGGACGATAGCTGCCAAGAGTCCGTTCCAAATCAATATCAATCCACAGACCGCGATGATCACAGGCGAAAAATTCATCAAAGTTGTAGTAGCCACCCGCTTTAACCACCACTCCGGAAGTTGCAAAAATCCCATCAATGGGTCTGCCACGTTTGTTGCGATGCTGGGTTGCTGCAGTTTGACTTGGATGACGTTGTAGGATAGCTTCCTCCAATCCTATGCTGCGAAGTTGCTGGCGAAAAGAAGAATCCTGGTATGAGGAGACATCCTCATTAGCATCCACGCCCACAATCACTTCACACCCCTTGTCGCGCCATTGAGTTATCGCATGTAAAAGATCCACCATAAACGCCTCCCTTGGATCACGCTGTCTGCCCTGAGAGCGGAAGAAGCTGCGGTGTTGCGCCCATACCGTAGATTCGCCCTTACCTGGAGGGTTTGGCCGGTATGCGGAGACCACCACCAAGTCTTTAGAGAACCGGCTACATGACGCATCGGCAGCCTCGTTGACTTGGTTATCCGAGGATGGCATATCGAGCTTCTTGCCTCAAAGGCGCACGTACGCCCACCTTCCCAACTTGGACGGGTCCCTACCACATGACTTGGCTCGATGTGCCACGGAATTCAAGACAGTGGCGACGCATCCTCCATACTGAGAGCAAGACGCAATTGGCCGGGCGCGATTCTCATTATGTGCCGTCGCCAAATAGTACCCCTTGGGCCCGACTTGTCGCATCCTATCACTCCAGTGATGACCTTCAGGTAGAGAAGGCCAGTGCGTGTTGGTCTCGGCCAACAACGCAATTCCCACTTGTTCATCTTTCAGCCACTGATTAATCTGTAACTGTTTCCGCCCTGTCAACACGGCCGGGAGGCTATTGAAATTTTGGAAAATCAGGCGGGTCAGTGCAGAACGGTGACAGCTGTGATCATCACCGAAGAAATCGCCGGCGGGAAGAGAACGTAAAAATTCCTCTACTGATGCATGGGGGACATCAGTCGAGGGGCCACTGAGTCAAGATCTTCTGCCTGCACGCCGTGACCGAGCGGCAGACGATCGAGGGCCTCTCATGGCCCTGCCGTGGAGCGGGAGGCTCCACGGCTGGCCAATGGCTTCTTCTTCCTTCGTTTACCCGTAGTATGGTCAGAAGGAGGAGAGTGTTGAGGATGACGGAAGATGGGGAAGACCGGGGACAGCGAACCATCCGAGGAATTGTCAGAGACCCTAGAACTGGCCAGAGACGGAGTAGAGGACCCTGGGCCAGAGCCTGGGTCCACAGCATTGCTATGGTCCGAGGTCGGCAGTGTCCTTGCTGTGTGGTCCGGAGTCACAAGTTCCCGCCGAGAAGCAGCAGTGGTGGTGTCTTGAGGCCAAGGTTGGTTGGCGATGGCCGTAGTAGCCCGAGGTGGCGAGCTCGGTAGGGGTGCCGTGAGCGGACTTGACTTGACTGCTTGCGCTGGAGTAGCCGGCGGAGTTGGCTCCTTCGCGGCAGAATTGCAAGCTGCTGACTCTGGCCTGTCCTGGGGAAAGGAAACCGTGGCTGCAGGTTGGGGAGGCACAGCCGGCTGCGCCGCTTGGCTCAAAATAGTCTGGTGCAGGAGGCGCAGAGCCGCAAGTTTGTTGGCCAGAGACTCAGACCGAATTCGTTCAGCTTCCAAAGCGCTACTCTTTTCAACCAAAAGATTCTCCTTAAACTCAATTTCAGTGATTGCCGCTTCCAATTGGCTATCCTTCTCCAGTGACTCATCCATGGCGCCTGCTACTGTAGCTCCATCATCAATATCTTTTGCATCAGCCATTTCCATATCAAATTCCAGCTTAGCTTCGGCGACGTCGAGTGGGTCAGACCCAAATCCATCAAGGAAATCGATAGCTTTGTCAATGCCTTGTAGGGTTTGGTCCGATGGTCGAGCCCGTAAAGTCTCTAAGCACCACACAAGTTCCTTGCGGCGT